ATTATTACACGTATTATCACCAATGTAGGAAAGTTAAATTGCTTGTCGTTCATTTTACTCTGCTTATCAATCCTATTACTCTCAATTTAAGTAAAATATTTTATAACCACAACCCCGGAGATTTGTTAAAAAAGTAAAGACAAATCTTTAGTATTATAATTCCTCTGCTTATTAATTAAGAATAAATGATCCACTTTCAACTCAAATTTTGTAAGTTTAGCTATTTGACACGTGCTGTCGCGCCTTCCTACTTTATCTTCTATTCTCCCCTGTTACTCTCAATTCTGACCTATTACCCGAAGATAAAAATTACAATTCAGGCGTTCTGTTGAAGAGGTAGAAACATGCCTTTACTTCAAACCTCATATTCTATTAACCTTGGACTGCCTAAAATTCTTCACCAAGCTGTGGTCAATTAGGCAACAGCAGGCAACGTGACAGAAGGGAATGCTACACATCTTACCCTGACGATCACTAATCGGGTACAGCTAATGTTATGATTCGTCTTACCACTGAAATGTAACCGTAATAGACTTCTTGACCAAAGAAGAGTGTATCAGGGACAGGGGATCGTGTGACTTTCGTTTGCTGAAGGACGAGAACGTCATGCATTGCGAATGATTCGACAATAATAACGTTGTCACGGTGGCCTCAAATATCCATGGTGTTGAGGCAAAATTTGAGGTGCGCAGATATGATCACTGTAGAAAGCAGCACATTTATGTCCAGTGCCCGGGGCTCATAAAAGAGTATAATGCTGACAAGGGTGGGGTTGACAGACGTGACATGTTGCTTTCCTTGTACAAGAACAACCAGAAAAGCAGGAAATGGTAAAGGGCAACCATTTTTCACATGCTTGACTTATGAGTTGTGAATGCTTGGCGACTTTACAGGACCTTGAAATCAGATGTTATTATTACACTCTATAATTTCAAACTTGATTTAGCCATTGCTCTGATCACAAGCAGAAAAGCCACTGTCTGTGATGAATCTCACACACTCACATAAACCAGAGCTATGCTATCTGTCAAAAATGTTTATACTGATGCTTGGTTTGACGTTGTAGATCATTTCCCTGGTACAAAGGAAATGAAAAATAATCAAAGGTGCAAAAGAACTGGCTGCAGAAGAAAAACGGTCTACATGTGCAGGAAATGTGAGGTTTTCCTCTGCATTATGGGAAAGGAGGGGGAGGAAGATTGTTTCTTTCTTTTTTACCATCAATAGCTGTGATAACCACATTCCGTTCCATTTCTATTTGCTATCATGAGAGTATTGACCGTCATTTCAACTGTTCAATATGATCATTCACATTGTTCTCATTTCATATGTATTATCGTTTACGCCCCCTATGAGATTTTGGTATGATATTTGCCTTCACCTGTTCTCTGAGAATTTTTAGACTGTTCTCCTATACTTGAGAGCTATTGACTCTTAGAATATGTTCATTTGATTGTGAGCATGTTCAGACAGTGTATTGCCTATTGGTATGATATAGTAATTTTTCACAGAGCTACTGTTGCCAGCTAGTATAGAGTGTAGTGTTTTTGTTGCCGTTTTGGCGTCAGAACACCCCCCCCCCGCCCAACTGGATACTGGTACTGTATTGTTTGACTTATTTTCTTTCACTTTCATTGACGTTTTTCCTAATTTATGATGTCAAAGTCAAACAACTGTAATAAAGTGTAACCATTACAACTAAATAAGGATAGTGTATTTGTGTTCATTTTATACTGTTGAAGTAACGTTTTTATCTAAGTCAGTACATTTGTATGACTAGCAGAACATTTTTGTCCCCCCCCCCCAAATTGAAGTGCTCCTCGAATGCTTGTCATCTAGTGTACTGGACAATCTGACTTCCCCATCAGGATGACATGAGGAGAAAAATTCTTCTTTCTGCCTTGTTTTCACCTAATTTCGAACCTACACATCAAATTATTTGAGCCTAAGTACCGTCCTTCATACTACACGGATCAAAGGGTTTACTAATCCTTTGGGGAAACGACAACACCCTGGGCTCCACGGATGGATCGGCTCGATCACCTGTTTAGTCACAAAGACTTCCGGGGGTAAGGTCATTCAAACGAAAACCCGTTGACTAAGAGCCACGGAAATGACCTTATTTTTTTCATAAAAGAGGGGAGGTCGCCCTCTTTACTTTGAGAGCAAGTACCTTGATAATGAAGCTGTAAAGCCCGCTATACATCTGAAGTTAACCCCCCCCCTTTCACATTTCTCCCAGTTCTGCGCATAAGCCGACATAACGTCCTCCTAGATTTATGCTTCGAGATCAGATCTGCGCTGGTTGGAGTAGACAACCTAATAGAATCGTTTCTTGCGCTGATTTGTGAAAAATAAGTTAATATATTATATTCAAACAGTACAAAACAGAGGTGTGTGTGAGGGGGGGGGGTGCTGCTGATCACTATTTGGCTTATTTAAAACCAAATTTCACCACATGTAAGACATATACCAAGCACAGTGAGTGGGGAGTATTCAAATATACAATGAAACGTTAGGGAAACGTTTCATTGGCATAGAGACAGAGTCCAAATTGGATATTGTTTGTGTGTTTCAAACAGTTAATGCCTCACTTATTTTCTGTGAAAACTGGTTTGATTTTGAAAACATGTTAAGAAAAAGTAGTTCTACACAAGTTTTGTAAGGTTTTTCTTTAACAAGTTAGAAAACCTTTATTGTATTTTTTTTCCTGAAGTAGTATTAATGGCTACCCCAAAAAAATTCACCAAGAAATTTTTTTTCAATATATTGGCAATTCAACAGACACTTTTTAGTGTTTCTTTTTCTCTTCATTCTGCAGGAATTTCATGAAGAATGGAGCAGTTATTTTAAAAAAGTAGAAAGAAAAACAGCATTTTGAGTAAATGGACGATAAAGAAAAAAGAGGGACTTTAAGTTTAGGAGGAAATTATGGTGGTGGCAAAATATGGGTTTATGAGTTTCTTGTGCAATGAAAAGGTTTTGTTTGTTTTGGTAAGTATCTTACAGCGCTGGCAACTGCAAAATGACTATTGAGGTCATATTAGCATGCATGGAGTAGCAAGCAAAAATTGTTCACTGAAAAACCAGCAATCCTCATACAAATTCCATAAAAATACAGTGGAACTTGGATTCAACGAGCTCGGATTCAACGAGAACTCGGATTCAACGAGATGAGATAGATTCCCACTTTTTTTCTTTTTTTTAAATCAATAAAAATAACCTGGATTCAATGAGCACTTTTATCATCGAGCTCGGATTCAACGAGGTCGCTTCCAGGGTGAACAGTCCCCACAGACGTGCCTTCGCAATTTTTTCTCCCAGAACGAACTTTATCTATTCCCATTATTCATATTCACTTAGCCGATTGCATGCGACCAATCAGTGGCCTTTATTCGTACCAACACATGCGTTGTTGACTCGCGCACGTGTCTACTCTGGCGTGTGTCGGGGTCGGAAGGGCGGCCTGCACACGTGAGGCTGTGTGTGCGTGTCGGGAAGGGGGGGGGGGTGCTTGCGATTCGGGCGTTGAAAGTCGTAGATACAAATGCGTTACAGTCTTTTTTCCCCCTCGGCAACTGATCACTATTACCATGATAAGCTAGTCTTGACGTAGATATCTACATAATGAATTGTGCGCTTGTCTATTGAATCAAAAGTTGCCATGTGCTAAGCTCTACACAGCAACACAACTTGTTGGTAAACAATCGAGACGACACAGGTGTGCATTTGAACGAATCGGTTCTTTTTTTACACAGCTCGTCATATGCAGGCATTTCAGGCACTACTTATGACTTCTCTTTATACATTACTTGTCTAATGCCTGTAATTATCTACACAAAACCTCATGTTTGCTATAACGAACACTCGGATTCAACGAGGTTTTAGGTAGGCCCGGCGACCTCGTTGAATTCAAGTTCCACAGTAGATTTTCAGAGTCTTCGTATAGTATAGTAGTATAGGGTTTTACGGCGCTCGCAACTGCGTAAGGTTATATGAGAGCGCGAAACACAAGTCTTCGTATAACCAAACACTGCCTCTGGTTGCATGAAGACATAAAGTATGTTCATCTTCATTACATGATTGTGTGATTGTACAAAGACCGGCTTTTTATATTTTGCATGCCGCGTGACATTTTCTACGTTGTGAATAATTTTGAACCTTGATAGCTATTTTATTCATTGTCAGGTGTTAATGCTTTAAACGGTAAATCTAATTGTTTATAAAACTCGTTCTGATTCAGTAAAAAAAATCTACTTTCAAACACTCTCGTTGGGGCCCAAACCAGATTATCCCCCAAAATTGCTGGTGTATTTAGTTTATGTGTACTTTGGTATTGTCTTCTCTTGCTTTTCTGTTTAGTAAGCCATTTTCTCTCTAGTTTTACCTCTGACAGCAGATAATCCCCATCTTCTGCAATCGTGAATATCTCGACTTCTATTCTAGATAGATGTCTGGTAAAGAAACAACCTTTAAGATGCTAACAATAACTTTACTTGACCTAACGCTGACGAGCGCCTCATTTAAACGTATCGTAACACAATTCTTCTCTTGCAGATAGAACTTTGTTATTCTGAAAAAGTTCTTCAGGTATTCAGACAGAACAATGTAATTCGGTGGGTATCTTGATTACGACTCCGAATTATCTTATGGTTTTTATAGAACAAACAGAGCCTTTAGTTTTGGATTGCCCTAATGACTCAAAATGGCCACAAATGTCATGGCAGAACTTTGTAGTTCTGAAGTATCGAATTTATTAGTGAGTTCAAGGATGATGCTGTGGTTTTGGAAATCGATGCATTAGATGTTGTTTTTTGAGTAATGGTCTTGCTCACCTTAATTTTGGGACAGCCCTTGCACAGGTTAAAAATAAATTGTGCAATGCCTATCCTCTTTAAACTTAATAACGTGTATTTGAATCTGTATATTAATATTCTTCATACTTGTTTTTACACGTCCTTGCTTTTTTCATCCTATATATTATTATTGAGCACACTCACCTGAGCTCGCTATTCACGTATTTGGTATTGTCCAGCAACTTCAGTTTCCTCCTTAAAGTTCTGATCTCTCTCCTTAGCAAAGTAATGTCAGTTATTCGGTCCTCATAGTCTTTGTTGCCTGGAGGAAGAAAGGGGAGAAAATTGGAAAAAGCGCTAAGAAATGTTTAATGGCGTCTGTGGTGTGAATAAATGTAACGATCTTGCTGTTCGACCTCACGGGCAAAAGACGTGAGGTGAGTCTCGATTGAGGACATTTATCTAAAACGGCATGTCTGTAGCTATGCTTCTTCTAGAACACAGTATCCCAATCTCCACTAGTTGACTTTGAAAGCCAGAGTTGAAGCAGCTCACCAGTTAAAAATTCGTAGTGAGGTCGCAATTAGAACACTGCCCTTTTCAAGTATATTTCTCTACGATTTTGATATTAGATCATTCTGAATAGTAATGAGAGATAATAATGAGAAGTTTCAAGATACATGTACTTTGATGAAGATTCTTTTAAATAGAAACTACCGCACAAAGCCCCATTGCTGTGTTTTCGAGAAAAAGCCAAAGAAGAGTCTTTACAGTTTACATAAACAAATCCATCAAATATTCTTTGTTCTAAACATTAATTTACTTAAACTGTGACCAATGAATCCGAGTTATGATAAAACAATATTTCAGCAGAAACAAACGTTTGAGTGGTGTCCCTCTTTTTTTTGTCCTGTGTCCTGATTTTGGTGCCCATATTTGTTGGTTACGTAAGAATGTATTAGTATGGTGCAAATTGTTGTGTTTTATAGAAAAACGAAACAAGAAAAAGGGGAATTGTTAAGTCGGTGATGATGATGATGATGATGATGATGATGATGATGATGATGATAATGATGATGATGATGATGATGATGATGATGATGATGATGGTGGTGGTGATGATGGTGATGGTGACGGTGACGGTGACGGTAATAGTAAGTGTGATGGTGATCATGATAACGATGATTTATGGTGGCGATGATGATGTTCTGATGTTGGAATCAGTGAGCATATTAGTCTTAGTGTTAAGTTTGTTTGGCGTTTACTCTAGATCCCCGCAAGGCTGTCCTGGGCATAGGGGACAGGACAAAACCCTCATTCCCAACTCCTCGCATAGAGTGACCAAAAATTTGGAAATAATTCGTCATCTTCATCCCTATTATTTAAAAAACGTTTGCTGAAAAATAACATGATGACATCCTAAGTGTGTTGGTTACTGTTACCCTATGTCTATGCTATCATATTTTCAAAACAGTGAAAGGAGTGCGGCCAATAATCTTTGTAATATTAATTTTCATAGTTATTGCAGACTAAGTTGTGTGCCTAGAAGTTATCGCTATCGTCATTTGCAAACGGTCCCGAGGCACTTCTGTGATCGTCGAAACATGTACAAATCCTGGAAAACCATGCCCAGACGACCAGAGAATTACAGGATTGCCTCTTCCTAAAGTGATATCAGCGAATTCACCGATTGTATATAAATAGATATCGTATGCACAGAAAAAGCAAGACACAGTACTGCAAGAACGAAAGCGGAATTGCGCCCTGCGACAACTCAGACACCACGGGCATTAAAAGACAGACCAGTTAGTATTAAGTGCAGGAAAGGTTATATCAAATTACTTCCCTATTCTATCCTCATGTGATGACACGTGACCTCGAATGGCACCATTAAGTCTGATTAAGAATAGCTGAAGGCAAAGATATGTCAAAAAAGTACAATTGGATAATTAAATTGCGTAAACACACACATACACACACACACTCACACACACACACACACACACACACACACGCGCGCAAACCCACCCACACACACACACACACACACACACACACACACACACACACACACACATACAAACATTGCTATGTATAACCAGAGAGGTATAACAGTCTTCCACTTAAGCTCGCTCACTCTCATGTGGGGACGAAACAAAAGTGGCATAAGATGGAGACTGGAAGCGTAACCTTCAGCTCTTAGCCCACCATTGCCTGAGACTACATTGATTCTCTTACATTTCTATGATATTTCTTACTTTCCCATTCTTACTTTTAGGTACAGTTAATTTTCCGATTGGAATAGCTGCATTTGTTAACCCCTATTCCTGGTGATCTACATCGATTCCCTTCACTACCCAAAGTAAACAATTTTCTCATTAATTACAATTGATGTACCTACGCGAACCCGTAAATCTTTTTAAATTTCTCTCCAAAGTGGATGGACCTTCTTACAGTTATAAAAACAAATGCTCTATAAAATCAGCCTCATTACAATATTTGCAATTTTTAGATTCCCTTAATTTCATTTTGAAGAGTAGTATGTTAGTGGGATAGATATTATGTAGTACTTTCCAATTTAACGTTCTCAAACGTGTTTCCTTAGACTATTTGCAACGTTTTTAATTTATATCAACACCATATTTTCCTTTTCAAATTCCTATGTACAGTGGTGGCTTAATTTTACTTATTGCTAAAAGAAAACATTTCTCCCTATAGTACCTACAATTGCATCCCTGAAATAAAAGTTGCCATCCTTAAAATAGATCTACACATTCCTCATCGCATTTAACATGGTAGTCTAAAACACAATGTGGATTGCTTCCATATTTTACTCTAAACTCTTCTAAAGACTGTAATCGTCCATCCTGGGTTATTATATCCTTATTACTAAAATGCCCATTTGTTTGCAAGATGGTAAAAAAAGGGTTTGATTTTTATAGGTTATAATATATTCGTTACCGTATTGAAAATAGAGTCGTTTAACGAGAGGACGCAGTCTGTGTCTTTATTAGAGTATACCAACCATTTAATTATCACACTTCTCCAAAACTTACTAGATATAGCGTGAGCCCTTTAAATTTATTTGCTTTTACCTTGCTTCTAAAAACCTGCAACCCACCAACATCTTTGAGTACAGCGACTGCCATACTTTTCCATCGTTGCGCTTTTGGAGCAAGAAGTGCCTCCGCCCAGCTCAAGAGAATGGAATCTTGAAAGTTAGTCATGTTAATCATTTTCAGACCTCCGTTTTCTAGCTCATTACATATAACCTTCCCTTTAACGTTTCCAAAAGCTCTTTTATTGTTAAAACCCTTTTTCTACAGAAATCTAAAAAGATTTCTGCTCACTTGGCTAAAGACATCTTCTGGTAACGCTATGCTCTGCATTACAAAAAGAAACTGCGTTATTCCAAAAGTTTTAATTAAGTGCAATTTCCCAATAATTGATAGATCTCTTCTTGCCCACTTTCCAAATATTATGAGGAGGGTATCGATCCTAGGCAGTGGTGTTCCTCTTAATTCACAGAGGAAAAAAGGCAAGTAGAGTATGTGATTCCTAAATAAGCAGTAAGAATAGACATCAAAGGTAATACTACCTGGGCTTTTAGGGGCTTTCAAGCAGCACAGAGGTGACGGAGAGTACTTAAATTATTTTTCACCCATGGTAATCGTGGCTCTAACTGTGTGTTATGTCATAATATGACAGAGAACTATCAATCAATACCAAACAACCCAAACGTTCGAAATACAGATTGGATAATTTTGCCATCAAGGAAAGGAAATTTAAACATTTTCATACTGGGTTATTCATCAAAGTCTTCTTGTATTTGTTTGTTTCTTAATTTCTGTCTTCGTTAGTTCCTTTTGATCTTCACATTACAACTTGAGTCACTTTTCCTTTTATCAGGCTCGTGTCATTGCAGGCAAAAAATATTACGAGCAGACTATAGGTTGTTCACTTTAATCTAAAAACTAGTGGCTCTGTATAGTATTTTTCACGTCTTTGCATTGGTGTCTAAACGTTGGATGACCAACATGACCCATAGGTTCATTAATGAAAGCCAGTGCAAACAAAGGTTCCAATACGTCTCTTTTAACCTGAAGTGGGTAACATGTAATTGAGGATTTACAGCATACATCTTAGATATTAAAAAGTTGGCCTATTATTGTCATCAACCCTACACTTCAACGCAAAATTCCTTGAAACGCAGCCCAACAGACCAAAGAGTACTTTTCGAGATACACCTAGCATGAACAGGCGTATAAAATGTTCGGACCGGATTTTTGCGAACACCTATTCGTTAGTTAGTTAGTAGTACAGGGTTTTACGGTGCTCGCAACTGCGTAAGGTCATATGAGCGCGCGAAACACAAGTTGGTAGCATTCGAAATAGTTTGTCGACATTAGACTTTAAAATGCTAAAACTAAAATACTAAAATTCAGTGTAAATATATTTGCGATTTAAAACAACTCATATAAATAACAATACATTTTTTTAAACAATATTGTTTCACTTTACAAGTTACCATAAAGGCCAATGGCCTTCACAAAATTCAAATTACTGCTGGGACCAACGACGGAAAAAATGTCTTGCAATTTCTTGCATTTATAATATTTCCTTCGGATCTCTCCAAAGTCCAGACATTCGGTTAAGATGTGTCAAATGGTAAGATCTGTGTCGCATCCGACACAGAACGGCTTTTCATCTCCCTGTAAGAGGTATTTGTGGGTCAGGGCCGTGTGTCCGATGCGCAATCGAGTAAAAATGACTTCGTCTCTTCTGGAGAGGTCCGAAGGATTTCGCTGTTTTAGTTTGGGTTTAATAACAAAATATAGTTTATTGTTTTTCTGTTTTTCCCAGTGGCTCTCCCACTGACTGGAGGTGTACTTTTTTACTTTATTTCTAAAGTCAGTCTGTGGGAGAGTGTTTGTCGTTGATCCCAACAGAAGGGATCACGCTTTCTTGGCCAAGTCGTCTACCTACTCGTTTCCTCGGATGCCCCAATGGCTAGTTATCCATGCAAACATGATGGTTTTTCCTGTTTCGGATAGTGTATGAATTTTCTGTTGTAGCCTAACTATTTTTGGATGTAAGAGTGTGTAGTTTGTTAGTGAGGTGATGCAAGACAGAGAGTCAGAAAGGAAAAGAGAAGATTTGTTAGGAGAATTTTCTACGGAGTCCAGTGCCATTTCGATGGCAGTGGCCTCCGCAGAGAAAATGGAGGCTTCAGGATGGAGTCTCCTCTGGTGTGTACTGTTGGAAGATAGGGCTGCGTCGCCCACTTCATTGTCTTTCTTGGAGCCATCTATGAAGATGAGCTCCGCACCGGGGTATTTATCTATAAGTTTTTTGTATTCTGCTTTAACAGTTTTGGTGTCTGTGCTTTGAGGTCCTCAAGGATTCTGAGGCCGAAGGGTTTGATGAGATTTTCGTTGTTTTGGAATCTGTTTATGGTTTCTGGGTTTGTTTTAAAAATGCAGTCGTGCGCTGGATTTTCCGGTGTTGAGCTCTGTTTAACTGCGTATCGTAGTGAGAGTTGTGTGCGTCTGAGTGAGAGTGGTTGGCCTCGGCCTGGAGGCTCTCCACCGGAGAAGTGCGGAAAGCCCCCAGAGCGAGGCGGAGTCCTTGGTTAGGTATTGGGTCTAGCATTTTTAAGATATGTGGTTTTGCCGATCCGTAGACTTGACAGCCGTAGTCAAGCCTGGACTGGACAAGGGAGATGTACAAGGGGAGAAGGTGTTTGAGTCCCAGCCCCACTCCGGATTTTGAACACAATGAATCCCCGGTACTAAAAAATATGACCATGACGTCAATATTCAGTCAGAGACTGCCGCGCGGAATGGAATCTGTAACAGTTTTTTTAATGATCGTCGCTACTATTTTCTTTCAATCCCAAAGCCCGTTGGACTGTTTTCACCAACGGAACCAACAAGTTTGCTTTTGTGTTTGGAAAAACTTTATCGCGTTTCTCACTGATCTTTATTTTAGCGCAATCTGGTTTTTTTCGTAAGTTCATTCTGTACCCTCCAAGAAGTTGTGTTCAATTTAGTGTACATTTCAGGTTGTCTTTTCCCCTGGTTCGCCCGTGAATTTACCTTGATGTGTGTGTGGTGTTTTTTTTGTTTTTTTGTGCTTGTTGGTCCTCTTTTTGTTTGTGTGTGTGTGGGGGGGGGGGGATGCAATGCAGGATTTTTACACGTCTAATGACACAATTCAGATCATTTAGGAAGCTGGCTTTCCAACCTGTCTGTCACCGTCAGTGCTAACCCGGGCTTAGAGGGATAACATATCCCAGTAGGAACCGAACGCAAGTCTCACGAGTGTGACAGTTAAGCGCCTGATCGCAACACAACAATAAATATTGATTGTTGGCTTTTTGTTTGGGGGCATGGGATAAAACGTGAGAAAATGAACACGTATGAGAGAGAGAGAGAGAGAGAGAGAGAGAGAGAGAGAGAGAGAGAGAGAGAGAGAGAGAGAATGAGAGAGAGAGAGAGAGAGAGAGAGAGAGAGAGAGGGGGGGGTGATATGATGTGTGGAGATGATGTTATATGTAAGAGTATTCTGTGTCACAGATCTCATGAGGGCACACTGCACGTTTCGTCATATGTTTGGTCAATATAATAGAGCTTACCTTATCTTACACAAGCTAACAATGAAAGGGACACTTTGATGAACGTTTTGCTAACTTACATACTTGCCGCCGTAGAGCTGAACATTTTTGTCCTGGCGCGGCCACAGTATTACATTGGTCATTTTTACTGTCGTTCATTATCATAATAGCATTAAAAAGTTCACCTCAAAGCTTTTCGAAAGGAACGACAGGAATTTTCACACGTGTATGATTAGCTATAGCGTTGTAAACTTATGAATTCCTTTAAAGCGAATCTCGTATCCACCGATACCGGACTCCGAGTAAAATATGTTCAACGGATTACTTCTTATTCATGTCAGCAAACAGCAGGCCTCGGCAAAAACAGGATCGCAGAGACTGATGTGATATCACTGTGTATGACTGAATCCTGTTACAGACGGGAATGACGTTTTCGTGCTCTGTAACTAATGATTAATAAATGGGATCTTTCTTCTTTTAAAAAAATAGATTACCCACTACCTATTTATCAATTTAGTGTATCACTTTTCTTTACGAGTGATATCCTCACCCCCCATCTTTTTCTTCCTTTTTTCCTAGCTCCTTGTTTTCATAGAGATTGGGTAAACATGATTTGAGATGCACATGACATAGATCTGTGGTAGATCTAACATTCGGAGCCTACTTTTCATTCAATCTTTTTTGCCCCCTAAAACGAGTCTCCCCACCAAATGAGGAGATGAGATGACGATGTGGTACCAGACTAAGGTCATGCGAAGTCACTGACTGAATTTTCATAAACACCAAAGTGCACAGCTTTCTCCCCCCCCCCCCCCCCCCACACACACACACTGTACATGCAAACGATATGACACATCATGAATTGTGTCACACTCAACTTAGCCTACCGTAGGTCACGTAAGTCCAACTCGCCGTAAATGTTATAATATGTTGTATAGCTACTTTTGATTTTACCTGCCGCCTTGTCGATTTGTTTTAGTTGAGATTTTGTCAATGATTGGACCACTGTTATAGTCGAACATGTCTGTCCGAATGCTTGCTTTAAATAACTTTAAGTACTTTTTATTATAAATTATAATTGAAATAAACAAACCTGGCGGATTTTCTAAATTTACAGATTCAGAAGCGTCGGCCTACAAAAGCGATCGACGAAATAAAGAAGTTAAGCTTTTTCCAGCAAAACTGTCTCAAAACTGAAAAAAACGAAGGGCGTTATGATCTGGAGAATATGCCAAAAGATTCTTTTGGCGAAAACCGCATGTCGATCGATGCAGCTATTAAAAAACCTTTTGAATAGCAAAATTCGGCCACCATAAATAGATAATAGAAGAAGATGTCAGTCTAGATTGAGATCTTTTCGGAGTAAAGATGCCCATGGAATATTAGTTAATAATGTAGTAAGATTCCCCCTGAACGCAGATTTGGTTTAACCCCTCGAAACATAATAATTTTTTTTTAAATTAAAAAAAATAAAAAAAT